CAAATGGACGTCAGACAAAAGTCGCAAGGATAAGTGCAAAAAGGATTTACTAATAAACATTTTCGTTATCTCCCAGTGTACACCCACAAAAGAGTCTCATTTTTCTGCGCCCATCCCGTATAATGTCCTTTTTATTAGGGTTCCGTAGCCAAAATGGCAAAACCGGAACCCTTATAGTTTCGTCATGTCCGGCTGTCCGTCTGTCCGTCTGTCCGTCTGTCCGTCTGTCCGTCTGTCCGTCTGTCCGTCTGTCCGTCTGTCACAGCCGATTTACTCGGAAACTATAAGTACTACAGTGATGAAATTTGATGGGAATATGTGTTGTATGAACCGCTACAAAATTATGACACTAAATAGTAAAAAAAAGAATTGGGGGTGGGGCCCCCCATACATGTAACTGAGGGATGAAAATTTTTTTTCGATGTACATACCCGTGTGGGGTATCAATGGAAAGGTCTTTTAAAATGATATAAAGTTTTCTAAAAAACATTTTTCTTAAAGTGAACGGTTTTTGAGATATCAGCTCTCAAAGTCGTAAAAAGTATGTCCCCCCCCCTCTATTTTTATAACTACGGGGTATAAAATTCTAAAAAAAATAGAGGTGATGCATGCTAATTAACTCTTTCAACGATTTTTGGTTTGATCAAAGTATCTCTTATAGTTTTTGAGATAGGTTGATTAAATTGACATAATAAGTTTATTATATTTGCTGCTACGGAACCCTTTGTGCGCGAGCCCGACTCGCACTTGGCCGGTTTTTATTGCAAACGGCGTCTAGATGGGTAATCTCATTTGTTATACTAATACTTTAAAGAATAAGCGTTTATTTGTTTAAACAATGGATGTGTTCAGTGTTTTGTAACAGACTTATCTTGGATTCTATGAGCGAGATTGGTTTACTTGCTTTCTTTTTGGGACGTTAATAGTGTACAAATCTAAAAGGGTAATTGATGAAGCAAGATGACACAAAATATTGCTTGAGATGTTTTATAATAGACGAGATGATATGAGTATATACTCATTGAAATGGCAAACGATACAGCGTTCTAGGACCACATTTAATATTTAGTAGCCGTCGCGCGGTGTGTTAGAGACAGATATTATTACAATTACAATCCACACGGAAGAAGAAGAGTTAGAAGCTTTTGTAGTCAAATAAGCGATAACTCTGTTAATATTCAGAACGTGAAAGTCTGAAAGTCCACCGCTGGACTATGTTTTCTAGCTGCTCCATCTGATGCTGACATTGCCTAGATCCAAGTTCATCTTACAGTTACAGATCAGTTCTAGGCTAACGGATCACGTTCTCTTATTATTTATCTATTCTATCGGATAACTTATTTTCCCACCCTATCCTTGAGAGCACCAACGAATTACAAGGACTACACACACAAAACATCGTGTCATTGATACTATAAAAGACAGATGTTCCTTATCGGCTGTCTTGTCACCTAATTTAGGATTCAGAGCGGCTGAATGGCAGCCGACAGATGAACTACAATTAGCATTCTGCCGGTGGCTCCGATGACCGCGATAGGGCTCTGGCGCCGCCCGACGTTTCAATCATAGCATAGACATAGACTAACATTAGAGATACAGAAGTGGCAAGTCATAGACGAGGGATTAAAAAAGGATTTGACCCTTCATTAACAAGTTTTAATTTCACTAAGAGAGACTTCCTACACGCTCTACATGAATTAATTTGCGCTGACCAAAAAATTCTTGATGTTTTAAAATACATTATGTATAGTCACATCAGTCCGATGCCTTAATTTATGAAAACGTGTTTATCAGTATTTTTACAAAAACAATCGAAACTTTTCAATAACAGTGATCTCGTTTTGCAGGAGTCTTCAGAATTTTAATTAGGTTATAAAAAAATAGTCTCCCGTCTTTATTTTATTACACAAAGAATTAACTAATTAGCAAATTACTGGCGCCGCCAGACGACGTTTAAATAATAGTATGATCATAGACTAAGAGTAATTTAGGACTGAACCGATAGTTAATTAATTTTAAAATGAAAGATCTCAAAATGTACATACGCGACACTTATAAATCAACTACTGCGCTATTCATCTCAGTGACATAATGGTAAATGATGATGGCGTCTCTAAAATGCATTCAAATGTATTCAAAAACAAACTTTAGCTGGCATATTTACAGCTGCAATTGAAAGCGTTACTGATGCATGTAGCTAAATAGTTTTAACGTTAATTAGTTACCTAAATGAATTACAAATGAGCGCCGAATAACATGCAAATAGCGGAATCTCCATACATCATTATTTTAATCAAATTCAAAATGTACTCTACAGTTAATTGTTTCAAATGAGGTGAAACAGTGTGAAAAAGAAAAAAGTTTGTGTTATATTTAAAATCATCCGGTAGCGTATTTTCTCAAGATTATGTGTAACTACTATTTAATAAATTTTGGAAACCTTACCTCACAAAAACATTGGTGTAATTGACTAATCGCTAAAACCAATGAACCATAAAGTAGCTATAAACACGTCTAGCGTTTGCAAGCACAATGTCGTTGCACTTCTGCCCTTAATTAGTCTAGGGCTAGATGGTGCGGATTAAATTCAGATCGCCGGCGTCAGATAGGCGACCGGCCGACAGTGTCAGGCTACCGAAGGAAAAGGGCGACTGCAATGTATAGTTCCGCACATATTTGTGCCATATCTTTAAATTGACACTGACTTATTTGGGTAACATTTTAAGGCTATGCACGCACATGTCAAATACTACTATGACGTCTCACAGTGCGCGTGGACGCACAGGGTGAGACACGAACCAATCACAAAGCTCTATTCAACGCTGTGCGTTCGTTTTGCTGCTTCACTTAAGCAAGCATCGTTTGTGAATACGGGTGATAATAGGTTTTGGACGAGATAACGCTGGGGTTGGAAATTGGCCACTTTATGGAGTCAATAATGAACACAAAGTTTAATTCAATGTTTAATTAACCGTAAGGTTTATATTTATGACTGGTTCTTAATTAGAATCAAAATCTCATTTGTTAACCATTTCTTTTCTAGTACTAATTTATACATTTATTCCTGCGAACTAAGGGACCCTATAAACTAGAACCATTAATCGACGCCTTATAACTCACGGCGCGTCTTGTAAATGCTCAAGCGTATTGATATAACACGTAATTTATATCATCATTAATCCGATGTACCGAGGCACCAACTAAGATGGATGAATCAAGCAATTTGAAAGCAAAATACGTATGGAGTTTCTAGAAGCACTTAGTAATTTAGTAATGCCTTCGTTATAATTAAATGCTAAATAAATACAAATCGCGAAAGCCAAAATCATGAAAAAATAATAAGGCCGTATTAGGTATTTTGTGCGAAACAATTTATAATTTACGAAGCCCCGATAGCCGAGCGGTGAAGGAAGGGGTTGGAATGGCCGACTAGTGATCCGGGGAACGCGGGTTCGAATCCCGCCGCCCACTTGACTATTGTGACATAGAAAAAACAAACCTTTATAGAGTAGGGTCATATTTTCTATTACAGAAGCTGTTCATTGATCATTGATAATTAGTAAAAATTCATAAAAGAAGTAGATAAGTTATTCATAAGTTAATATCTCAGTCCATTTGTTAACCTCGTCAGACTAATTTTATCTAACTTCCAAAGCAAAGTTTTATAATTATAAAGACGGCACCTAAAACAAAGGGATGCTTTTGAAAACCTAATTAGCAAGTTACTCGTATCAGGCTCTCGACAACAATGTCAGTGTGAATGCCAATTAGTCATGATATATATTTAGATACAGATAACAGGACCTGCTTAATGTCTGTATCAATATTCAAATGTCAAGATGAAAATAGTACCTGGCGTATACATATTTCCATAATGTAATTATAGAGCGTCACAAGGAAAAGCCGTGGACAATTTTAAATTATTCGATACTTTTTATAAAATATCCGAGTATGGAATTTATTGGCAATATCCGAACATTGCTAAAAGAACAAATTCATCTGCCGTCCAAATTCTTCAAAATCCTAACCTAAATAAATGAACCGTTAAACTTTCGCTTCGGTATTCAAATTATTTAACACCTTCCCCGCCTCCGTGTTTGCACACAAAACCGCCTAATTCATCTGTATTGAATTAATTTTCATAATACACAACGCGCGAACATTTGAAAAGGATATCCGATTAATACAACTGGCTGAAACCTTTTGTTCCGTGTACGCGGTTGATTAAACACAGAATCAATTACTACGAAATGCTATCACCGTTTGAATTTATGGGAGAGATAATGGGTAGTCGTTACAATTCTATCACATGTCGAATTCGATGTGCGCAAAACGTATTTACATGACAGAACGGTTGAGAAATTGATTCTGAGAAATTGTATACTCGACATTAAACGCATGGGCTTTTGATGTGTTCCAAGTAAAAGAATAAGGATAAAGAAAATGTATCCATTACGCATTTTCCGCCGAAGGGTTATCATAGGATTTCCAATGAAAAAATGTACCTAAAGGTATACGCCACATGTCAAACTCGTGTCAATTCACAAATTATGTATTTTTTTTATGTATTCTATGGTTCAAGCCTTAATTTTGATATTTAGGAATAATATAAACTAGTAAAACACAAAAAAAAGTAGGTAAGCGTTTTTCACACAATTTACCAGACAATTTCTTCAAAGATTATGGCTCTTGTCATCACTTTAGGCCGATTTCCACTAAATGTGCGAAGAAAAGTGTGAAGCCTTGTCTAACCGATTCCACTGAAAACTGCTTTGATGGAAAACGGGCTTTTTATTTTATATGTCCCAAAAAGGCTCGACTTTTTTGTCCAGTACTTCCTTCTCTTTAAGGCTGGGTTGCACCATCTTACTGTAATTTTAACAAATGTCAAAAGTTTGTCAAACTAAATACAAAAATACTGGTTATAGTTATTGTCACGGCTAAAATAAGGTGGTGCAACTCGGCCAAGTTTGGCGTGCTCTACTTAAAACGCTAATTACCTGTACTCGCTGACAGCGGATGAGGCTCTGAGTGTGCGTCAGTATCCTCAGCACCATGTGTTCGATGGTGCTCTGCTCCTCAAACACCATCCGCGCCAGATCCAGAAGCACCTGGTTCCGCTTCACCTCCAGCTGGGACCGCTCGTACAGCTGCGCGTTCCGGAGCCCGATCCCGCAGAACTGGAGGTAGGAGGCGAACACTTTCTCGTCGTTCGCCGTGAACGGGCCGTCGTTCTGCTTGTTTATCACCTGGAAAGGGGCGCTGATGTAGATTTTTATGAGATTGTCTTTGTAGTATCAATGAATTGTACATACGAGGGTCATGTGGATTAAAATCTTATTTAGTTGTACTAGGAAGTATGTTTCAACAAAATGTACAGTGATGTGTTGAAGATTGTATTTTTAAGGCGCGAAAGAGAATTTATTGTGGAATATTATGTCGTTTTAATAGATGCTATTTTGTATCTTATTATTGTAGTGTCGACAACAAACCTACACGGTGTCAGTCCAAAACTCCGCCACAAGAGTGGCGAGATTTTGTATTGTATGATATTTTCAAATTATAAATGAGTTCAGACTATACAGTTTTGTCACAAAATATAGTACACACACAACATAAGATACCACAGGGTCATGTATACAATTTATACATTTCAGAACAAATATATTTTTAGAAAGCAAGATAACCAGTACCTACTAAGTGGCATGGTAGAGAAATTCAACATTTGATATTTCAATTGGTAAACCACAGAATAAAGGGGTTTTCGCTAAATGAATTGACTGAATCATTACAAACGAATTAACTTTAAGTCACGAGGAATTTACATTAATTAGTTTCGATGAATTGACAAGGGGAACAATGGAATATACCAACTGAACTGATAAAACTCTGAACATAATAATTAAATTTATGTATTTATTAATTTTCGCATATCCAAAAGAGAACAGGTAGGTAATTCATTGTCAAATAGATGATAATTGTCTTGAACTTTAGCTACAAGTACGTACTTTATATACACACGTCCTTGCTGAAAAATGCCCCAAATAAAGGTCCTTGCTGAAAATCAGTATCAGTCGGGGACCTATTTGACACACTGCGTCTTTTTGCATCGTTGTAAATCAATATTTTGCGTGCCAATAATTAAATCCTTATTCTTATTCATTCATAGATGATGTTGATCACCGATCAACATTATCAAACACCGTGATCATGCATTTTGGTTAAAAGTTTTGAGTCATAATTTTTTTTGGTTTGGTTTTTTTCTTCTTTGAGGAAAAGGCAAAGTTGACATACTTTTGAAAGTTAAAGTAAGATGGTGCAAACCCAACGTAAGTAATGACAGTATGTTTTTTTTTTGGAGTAGTAATAAAAAAAATGATTTAATACAATACTTTTCTAGATGAACTGGCCGTTATATCCCGTCTGTGCCTTAAAGATCCCTCGCTCACCGGCAGATGGTGAGATAATTCCGAGTTTTGCTAACATTTCAATTCCACGTCGGGATATTTATAACTTCACGTGATAAAAGGAGGAAACTTTTTTGATATCTCCCTGATGTTAAGCGAAATTTTTCTTTTCCTTGGGCGAGCGCCTGTTGTTTGGGGTAACAAATCTTGATAATAGAAATTAATAATATTGTGTAACACAAATAGCGTTTGATGTATTTTTTTATTTTAAATCGACAAAGAATTTTTTCACTACATTACGTAATAGTGAAATGTAATAAAAGTAGGTATTTAAGTAATATGTGTGTACTTAGGGCTAGTACCTAAGCAACTTTAATCAATAAATTTTAAATTTTCCCTGATTCCGTAAAAAATACCTACTTTAAGAGTTCAGCGAGGTATTAATTTCATTTTAATTTCTCTCATTCGAACCTAAATTATTATTATTGCAATGTTAACTAATCTTATGATACGTATCCATAATATGAATTTTGGTCCCTTCAACATGCATTGAATAATAATCCTTTTTAATATAATAAATAAAGTGCATTTTACCTGTGCGACCCCGATAACCTCTCCGTTGATGTCTTTGATCGGCATACACAGCAGCGACCGCGTCTTGTAGCCGGTCTGCTGGTCGATGTCGTGGTTGAATCTCTCGTCCTACAACAAAAGAGAATAATAAATTAATCAGCTGTCGGTAACTGGCGAACCTTAACTTCGAACTCCTCCTATGTTCTTCCTAACTTTCCCCTGGGACAAACCTGACCTTGACTGGCTGGGATTTTATTGGCGATCAAACTGTAGATCCTGGCTACACAGGAGTTGCAGCGGTAGGAATGAGAGATGGGAATAGTCCCGTTTAACTGGCGAGAGATGGCGCAGAACCGAAATTGAGACTCTTAGCGACCCCGAGCACTGGCAGCTTGGCTGCGGCAGCCAGTCGAGCATAATGACGGTATATGGGGGCCCACACACTAAGCAGCCTAGTGTTCATATACCGGATTGGCTGCCACAGCCAGGCTGCTGCGTAGTGCGCGGGGCCTTAGGGCTATATTTCACCGGGACACCATGGCGGCGCAATCAGTTGCCGGCTACCAACAAAATGTATACAGCTCTATAGAGAGTTACTCACCTGGTGTCCGTTTGGTTGCGCAAAGCTGTATACATTTTGTTGGTAGCGGCGACTGGTTGCGCCGCCATAGTGTCCCGGTGAAATATAGCCCTTATTGTCGGCAAAGACTCAATTTGGGTCGCTGCGCCAGCTTAGTCGCTTAGTTACTACTACACTCAACATCAAATAAACCGCACCTTCCGCGAAGCGAACTTTAAAGATTTTCTTCTGACACAATCATGGTACCCCAACAATATTGGTGTTATTTGAAAGCCCAATAAATATCCTTAAAGAAAAATACATTTCATTTCTAAATAAATGATTAACATATACCTACCATAAATGTGACTTGAAAATAGACCTCACTTTGGGGTAACCTCTGGGATCAATTAGACCAATTTTTATGGTTATAAAACCAAATAAAGATCTCACGTGTCCTCTTTAACAGATGGATAGCGATTAATCCCAACTTAACAGTTTTATAGTCATAAAAAATGGCTATAGCGTAACTACCTATTTTTTGAAGAAGTGACTCTGGATCCTTGTACAGACACATTTTTGGGGTAAAAACCTTTCCTTTAATGAAATAAAGTTTAAAACTAGGCTTTCAAATGGTACCAATGTTGGTGGGAAGTGGGGATGCATATTTTTGATAAGTGCTTGTCGCGGGAGGTGCGATTTATTTGATGCCGAGTGTAGTTAGTTTTAATAATAAACATTGTAGAGAAGAATAAGGTCACTTCCACTCTTCTCGTGGATGCCGTAAGAGGCGATTAAGGGGCAAATGTGCAAAATCTGGCTTCCCCAAACCATCTGATAAACGTGGGCCTTTGGTAAATTAGATAGGGCTGTGCTCCAGTAGTAGTCGACAGAAATTATTATGATGAACAGGATCTATATAAACTGATAAATAGTCTTTTAAAAATTCAACACAGATCTTAAAAGGCATTTCCATTGGCATCTCTAATTCAAGTCTCGTAATAACTAAAAAACTTTAATGGCGTCGCTCCAATAAAGTTTAGTGATGCTAAACCATTTCGTTAATCAAAATTGTGCTAATGTTCTGTTTCTTGAAATCACCTAATAGAAGTTCTCAAAGCCCGTGAAATGCCAATCAAATATTCAACACTCGGGAATAGCAAGAGCTTAAAATCTAAGTTCAAACAATCACAGGCTTGCTTCTAAGCTTAAGATTGAAACTAGTTTTGAGTACAGTTTCATAATGCCAGCCTAAGAGCGTAATCAGAGTTGGTCCTCGCCGGCCGCAAACCGCAACTGTCCTCCAGTCTCAATGCCTCTCGTATTTAAATTGCTTCTTCAACACTAACTAAGCGCTTTAAGTGCCACTGTTTGGATGTAAGAAGTAGGTAAACTCAGTACTGGTGTATAGTAATTACCGGTATTTTACCTACATCATTAATTATTTATCTAGGTATAGTCCGCGCCAGGAGAAATAGGCAAATTTTGTGACAAATATAGCCGTTTAACATGGACACCGAGATTTCTACGTATTTATAGAGATTTCTACGTATTTATAGACATGAGAAAACCTATATTTGATTGAAAAGTCAAGAAAATAAGTTACTGTTAAGGACAGTTAAATCTCTCTTGAAGTAGATTTTTCAGCAAAACACCGAAGACGAGTTGTCTTATTTAGTTCCAATAGGCAGATGAAGGCCACAGTAAATAAATTTATGTCCTGTGTTCCTAGTAAATCAATCCCCTGGGATAATTTACAATTTAATTCGAAAACCATTCCTTTCGAATGAAGTTTTAACAGCAGCCCTATCCACGACTTATTAGCCAGAGAGCCCATAAATCTCCAGCCCAAATTGGGTTCCAGATTCCAGTATTTCCAAAACAATATTCCCGACAACTTCGAACAGCTTCTGACAACAACATTCCAATGTTTCGACAAAGAAATCAATTTAACCAATCCACTGTATCCGAATTTACGACAGAAGCGGCTGGCACAATACGTCCCTTAAAACCTTTATGGCAAAGCACATTGAAAATTTTCACTGGTTTTCGACTTTACAATAAGTAAAATACGGTTCAAATTTTAGTGGGAATATATGCGCCAGAGTAAGGGTTAACACGTTCAGCGCACGAGCATAGTTGTGGAAAACCACATCCAGACATATGGCCGTAAGCCAAACCGCCGTATCTGCGGGCACCGTTCATTACTGACAACTGGCCGGATTGGTTTTAAATCGTTCACTGGTTCTTCGCAGATTGGCCGAACTGCAACCAGGGTCCGACTCGCAAATTTAATTATGCTTGACTTGATGAACACCGCACAATCGAATGATCAAGATCGTTTAAGCCATTTCACTGTATATTTTATGGTAAGAATAACATAGAAACAAGTAGAAAGTTTAAAACATCGTCTCTGTTCTTGAACCTCAAGACTTATTGGTCTAATAAATGATTAGGAAGTTCAACTCTCTTGATCCAGAGGTCCTGGATACGTTTCCTAGGTGGGTTCAATTCCAAGTGGAATACATGATATGAATCATCACTTTTTGTGATGATTTCCAGTTTATTTAAGGAGGTGGGATTCCAATAAATGATTCTGTGCTTCATAGCGTACATATAAAGCCCAAAAAGGCACCTAAAATCCGGTTCAACAAGTGTGTAAATATGTACGTACCTATAATAGAAGAAGTTTTGATTACTATTGATTGATTGATCAGTCTCAAAAGCAATAAAACTAACTTAACCCCTCTAGTCCAATTTGCGAAACGTTTCTGGTGGACCAAGTCCATATTACTACCAGAAACGTGAAGTTCAGTCGCGCAGAACTCCAATAAGCGTATACTTTGACAAACTGTTTAAAACAAAAAGTTTTGCAAGAAGTCAATAGCCGTAACCACTGTATGAAAGATTCAGTTACAACTTTTCCGGCTTTGAGATTTTATATTTCTTGGGCTACGTGAAATGTTTGCCAACTAACTAAAGGTTTAGCGATTAACCCAGTCAGTGCCTGAGGTATGGGAGCGGCATGGGAGGGGTGATTTTGACGTGACAGTGACAGAGCATACAAACGAAACACTTTCGAGTTCGAATCGCTTGCGTATTCGAATCGCCATCAAAAGATTTAGTACGAAAACTACAACAGCGCCCTTATGAGCGTGTCGTAAAATGAACTTTGTATGAGAAATGGTTGCACGAAACTTATTTTGAGAAACAAAATTGTCACATTATCGTTAATTCGAAGATTGAGTATTGATCTTTGTCGAATACGTAAACGATTCGAACTCGAAAGTTTTTCGTGCTAGCCGTACTGAAGTCTCGCTGACATTTGACTCATCATAACTTTAAAAAAAAAACCGANAGAACTGCATGTTTTTTTCTTACCTGAATAAACGTTATCGACAGTATCGTACAGCTTCCCAGTATACGTGTCGTAGAACTCGATGGATGAGTCGACAGACACCGCCAACACTTCTGCGTTGGGAGACAGCGCGATCTTCGGAGGGTTGGCAGTCTCTAGGACCAAATCTACTAATAATCCTTGTAAGAACTGCATGTTTCTTTCTTACCTGAATAAACGTTATCGACAGTATCGTACAGCTTCCCAGTATACGTGTCGTAGAACTCGATGGATGAGTCGACGGACACTGCCAAAACTTCTGCGTTGGGAGACAGCGCGATCTTCGGAGGGTTGGCAGTCTGGGTATAAGTTCCCGTCTCTAGGACGTGGGGCGATTCGCCTTGGGCGTAGTTGACTGTGGAATAAGAAAAAGTAAATTAAAACCTAACCCTTCAATGTTATAGGTACAGTCGCAGAATGAAAAGGTTCGTCACCTTAGTGTCGGTTTTCGCTTGCACTAGGTACCTACTGTAAGAGTCAAACCTGCCAACATAACAGTGCAAGAAACAGTGCTGCTAACATTTAAATAAATATGGCGTTTGCTAACAAATAAGGTTTTGCTTGTTTATTTTTCTATCCCATCAGTGCAATGCAATGATGACATTGACCAATTGACAATAGTTTTTTTTATTTAATATAAATAATAATGGCAGGTTGAACCAACAAGAAGGTTTTAGTTTATCAATCATAATAGTGTCCGACCGAATGTTCGGTTTCGGTTTCGTTTTCGGTTGAGTTTCGGTAAAAACACGAGTTTCGGTTTAGTTTCGTTTTCGGTGGCAAACTTGCCGAAACTACGACCGAAACCGAATGTGCATTCGGGAGTTTCCGCGCTGTTATCGGTCATGTTCGGCGCGTTGAATGAGGAATGAATCCGATCCCGATCAGAGCCAATGTCGTGATTCACTCGCTTGTTTGTTTGCTGTTAGTTTTGTTTTGTTGTGGTGGCGAATTTTCGAGTGATTTATNACTAATTATTACCTTGATGTTACCACTGAAGGTAGGCAGTACATTGAGACCATATTCTTAATGTATATTATAAAAAAGTTCATCCCCAATTTTCCACCCTTGGGGGTGAAATATTTTCTTCAAATTCGCATGAAACCACCCTTTTGATAATACCTATTCAACAAAAAAATAATCGTTCAAATTGATTTATAATCGGCGGAGATATTGCGTATAAAAAAGTTCATCCCCAATTTTCCACCCTTGGGGGTTGTTTTTTCTATTATTAAATTTAAATGGGACCACCCTTGAGGTATTACCTATACGCTGAAAAAAGATTTGTTCAAATCGGTCCATAATTGGCGGAGTTATCGCGTAACAAACATAGAAAAAAAAAACATACGGGTCGAATTGAGAACCTCCTCCTTTTTTGAAGTCGGTTGAAAACCCCCTCCCGTGCCGCTTCCATGCCTCAGACACGACTGAGTTAGGACCTACACCTATAACTCGTGTATAGGTTGCCTTGGATAGAGTTTGCAGAACGCAAAACTAGGAATCGAAATGTAAGAACTTTGATCAAGTTTCGTTTGATATTACCGCGGTAACATTTTGATTGGTAATATAAAAATTGACGATCCAATTGTTGATTTGAAAAATTACAAAACTGACAAAATTTTATAAAAAAAAATAAAACCGACTCCAAAAAACCTACACTAAAACGTAGAAAAATAATTACTAATTACCTACTTATTTATTAGGACGAATTATTAATATTTATGTAGGTATACCATGATTGATACTTCTGGAGTCGGTGCCAAGATTATGAAACATGTAAAGTTTGCCTGCACCGACTCCAAAAGTATCAATAATGGTATACCTACATAAATATTAATAATTCGTCCTAATAAATAAGTAGGTAATTAGTAATTATTTTTCTACGTTTTAGTGTAGGTTTTTTGGAGTCGGTTTTTTTTTTTTTAAAAAATTTTACTTATTTCTTGCTTTTTAGTTAACTAATTATTACCTTGATGTTACCACTGAAGGTAGGCAGTACATTGAGACCATATTCTTAATGTATATTATAAAAAAGTTCATCCCCAATTTTCCACCCTTGGGGGTGAAATATTTTCTTCAAATTCGCATGAAACCACCCTTTTGATAATACCTATTCAACAAAAAAATAATCGTTCAAATTGGTTCATAATCGGCGGAGATATTGCGTATAAAAAAGTTCATCCCCAATTTTCCACCCTTGGGGGTTGTTTTTTTTATTATTAAATTTAAATGTGACCACCCTTGAGGTATTACCTATACGCTGAAAAAAGATTTGTTCAAAGCGGTTCATAATTGGCGGAGTTATCGCGTAACAAAAAAAAAAAAAAAAAAAAAAAAAAAAAACATACGGGTCGAATTGAGAACCTCCACCTTTTTTTGAAGTCGGTTGAAAATACAAATTGAACTCAGTTAATTATTTCTTACACATTTTTAACAAAAGTACTGAAATAAAATAATGCTATTTCAGTTTACATAATGCCATATCTTTAAAAATAAAAATATTGTCATAATAAAAATAAATAAACTTTATGACGTATTTAATAATCAAAATAAAATTACTCTTTTTGTTCGTTTTCCTTGAAACATTATGGTATTACGAAGAAAAGATCTTCCTGCAGCCTTCGAGCAGCGATATTGTTATGATAATACAGTTTGTTTTTATGCCCACTTGAATAAATGCTGTAGGTAAAAGAACAAAGCATAGAATCGTTTATTGAGATAATAACTCTACTATGTTATTGGCATTTGGCAACGCTATGAAAATTCAAATGACTCGGTATCATCGAATATTTTGGCTGCCTTTTTAGAATCTTCCTTAGATTTGACTGCTTCTTTTTTAATAGCTATGCCTACCTACCTGTTTTGAAAATCACAAAACAGATAAATTGAACTCATAATGATAAATTGAATTTTTTAAAGCTTTAATGTTTAGAATACCGCATCAAAATCGGTCTAGTCATTTATGAGCTACAATGCCACAGATATACAGCCTAAGACGTTATTCTCTTTGGGCTACAAAATCATAGTAAGTACCTATTTACAAAACAAAAAAAATATACCAAGGATAAAATATATGAGCGCAAATTCCCGCTTTGCAAAACGAGGATACGTGAGATTATCACCGGGCGTATAAACGGCATAATAAACACAACTTTACGACATTGGTAACGATGGCAAATAGTTTGCGACAGTCATAAATTAAGGTAATTGTTTGCATTCACCACAACAGCAATGTTTATTATAGAAAATACTAGCTTTCCGCCCGCGGCTTCGCCCGCGTGGAATTTTGTCTGTCACAGAAAAACTTTATCGCGCGCGTCCCTGATTCAAAAACCGGGATAAAAACTATCCTATGTTCTTTCCCGGGACTCAAACTATCTCTATGCCAAATTTCATCAAAATCGGTTGCGAGGTTTAAGCGGGAAAGCGTAACAGACAGACAGACAGACAGACAGACAGAGTTACTTTCGCATTTATAATATTAGTTGGGACTAGTTGGGATTGCAATATTACTCATTTACATCAAAGGGTTTCACATAGTTCTTTTGGCTGTTTTTTTATTCCATTTCATCATTGTACCCGAGCATAGGCAGGATTTTTTTGGAGCTCTAAAAAAACAAAAAGCGTAAAAGGTTCTAGACTCAAATTACTAAATGAATCCAAAATTCGTCGTTAAGGCAATCGCACTCACAAATCGAGCGTGAAATAGCCGGGGGCGAAGTTTGACAAGCAAATGTCAATTTTCCAGTGAAGTGAGTACACAGACGCGTGTGGACGCAGCGCGATGTTACGGCCCTCCACGGATCGAACAAACAAACTTGTGCAAAGACATCAGCTGACGTATAATGAGATCTGTCCCGTTATCACACCCTCGTAGGTATATAAAGTCTAAAATCTGGGCGAAAACGGGTTAAGAACATTTTTTTCTTGATAACATCGGATGACTACGATATTTTGAGTGATAATTCTAGCTATTTTTGTCCAAAACCATAGAAGATTGCAGTGAAATACTTGCTTTGTGCAGTTTAAATAAAGTCAAACACTTATGATTTTATGAACACGATTAAAACACGATTTCTATCTAAATTCGTAAATAAGTAGTTAGGTTGTTTCTTTTTATTAAAATAAAGATACCTATTTATTCTACAAGAAAACCGTGTCCGTGAGAGGAGAAAAAGGGGATGCCAGCTACATTTCCTCACAGAATAGCTTATCTTGAATAACTCTTTTGCTTTGTGATAAGTGACAATATGAATCAGCGTAAGCGCATCTTTAGGCTCGCTATACAGTAGCATTGACATCTTTACTTTACCTGTAGTCACTTATAGCAGTCAAAAACCAACAGCTTCCGTAGTTTCGTTACTAGCTGCTTCAATCTGTCCGTGTATGTCGAGCCTTCCCCTTACATTATGCAAAACGTTTTCATAACCGCACAAGCGTGAGTACGCACAACTGATCTTGGATCTTGGCAAGGTCGGCCTGGAGACGAGCCAGAACATCACGACAGTCATCCCGCACGCCATCGGGAGATTAGCTTTGATCGACGTCCCAGTAACCTTGACCGTTGCCCGATTGTAAATTTTGATTGATTTTATAACCTGAACAGTTACAAAACAGTTTAAATTTCCTCTGGGAATATCCCATGTTTACGGGCCGGATTCGATTGCTGATTAAACTGTGGATACTAAGGGCCTACATAAGAAGGACAATTCCACTAATTTGTAGAGTTGCTAAGTCCAATTAAAGTTACATTTGCGGTTAATTAATTTATAAAATGATAGCAGAATACAAAAGACAATAACGCAATGACGCTTACAATAAAGTTTGTTAATTCTAATATTTAAACCTATCATAAAAGAATTCAGTCTATTTTTCTGTTAATACCCTTTTATTTATAAATTTCTCTTTCACATTAAAACTATTCTTCTCAGTTGAAAATTACTAACATTTAAATTTATTCATTCGTTACACAATACTATCTCTTTTAACGACACAGTTCTTTAGAATTCCTAACGCCTGTAATGCTATTCTAAGAATATTCCGCTAAAAGCCTTTGGACACATTATTGTAATTGGCTGAAATTTTGAGCAGACACGCCAATAGAGTTCCAGGCTTAATTGGATTACGTGAATAAATATATTTTTAGAACAATCTATGTTAAGTTTAAGCATGATATTATGTAAGTAAGCGATAATGTCTTTATCATTTCATGAAATTATAATATAGAGAAAGACAGACACGTGTGAGCTCTTGGGGCTTCTTAAATCTAAGTATAGAACCCTGAAAGTTTTTGTTAAGTTATTATCAACAAAACAGGTACTACGTGTTTTGTTATAAACAACATCGAATGTGTCATTACTTATGTATAAATACTTGTAAATTTACAAGTCTCGTCGAGTCAATGAGCACCAAAAATTTTTCTCAGTGAAACCATAATCTATGGGAATCGGGTCAATCGGGGCTACATTTCCAAATGGGCAGTAAAAATCGGAACCAATAAATCAGGGTAGTATCAGCATCATGAGGTGGCTAAACGGGAATAACATTTTTAGCCACATCTCCTGGTTGAGTGGTGGGAAATAATTTACCTTGAACTGTACTGACGAATCACGACTAAGCACTGGGGATAGAGCACACGGATGAACCTTTTCTTTTATTTTATGTTTTACCTTTTTCCTCCGAAATGAAGACGAACATTTTAGCTAAGACTCTCAGACAATACAAGAGGAAAGACTTAAATAACGTAAACCGAATAAAAAATTCAAAGCTCCAATTTTTATCTTAACCGCTTTTTTGTATAGTTGAGCTAAAATTGAGAGCTTGAGATGAACTTAAAATTTTCTGTATTTCGGACAAATAATTTAGATTTAGCAACGTTGTATTTAGTTTTAAATTATTAATTGTGTTTTTCTTTTACAACCTTTTAAAATTGTAAAAACATCTAATAACAAGGCTGATTTTGTTGCTTGTTGACTTTTTGGAGAGAAAAAGGTGCGATAAACCGTCGTTAACTTAATTACTAAATCTTAGAAGCACCCAAAATGTAGATCTGGCCCAAGATGTGTTATGCTTATTTCATATTCCTTCCTAAATATCAGTAAGTATGTGCAGTTATAACGCTCAGAGCACACGGAAAAACACCCATACACACACATTTAACAGCTAAACTAAATGAGTTTGCAGAAACTAAAAAGCCGACACGAAGGCATTCACACCTAAAGTGTAGAAGGCAAGTCATTTAGCTGCTCGTGTGTACTACACCTCGATGCTTTGGTACCACGAGAATTCCCTACGTTGAGGTCGAATTAAATTATTTAACAGTTGGAAAATTTTCCGCTGCTTTTTGCAGCCGGAATTTTAAAGAGGGCTATGGAATTAATACTTTTTGTTTGTTGTAAATGTTACAGGAAATGTATGAAATCCGTCATTGTATACAATTCCTAGGAATTGTGTATAAGTCCTAAAATCACCCGGAAATGTGTGATGTAAATTATATTAGACACATTTCCTAGGAAAATTACACATTTCCTAAACAGCAATCGGAAATGTAATTAAGATTTTTTTTTTACACAAAATTATTTTTATTACGCCACTTTTTGTTCTCCGAAATTTAAATGGCGCTGCCGCGCCGCGGCAGCTGTGTATGTGTAAGGTCGCAAGTCTAACCTAACCTAACCCAGACTTTGTTATCCAGCTACAGGAGTACTAAAACCTTCATGTCAATAATAGTTTAATAAAAGAGATGTTAAAATTAGGGATTTCCAATACTTCAGCGTAATATGCGTGATGCCGAAAGAAAGGTATGCCAATAAATTTTAGGCAAATATTTTTTTCGACCAAAGTATAATAGTGCGAAAACAACTGTCAGGTTAAACAATAATAATTGTGAGTTAAAAGTACCTATCGGCCAATGTGGTTTGGCTAAATGAAATTTTAGGCGTACCGAGGGACACCCGATACGCGACCGCGCTTGTGCCGCTTAGTTTTATACATTTCCTAATACAATATTGGAATTCTATAAAATTCCTAGGAAAAGTATACATTTCCTAGGATATGTGCGTATTAAAAAATCTCTGAAGCAATATTTTATACATTTCCTAAATAGCATAATAGAATTCATACATTTCCTGTAACATAAACACTTTTATTTTTTAACTTTGCAATGTTTTGTTTATTGTCAGGAGGCTAATCCAAAAGTAGATATGTACTATTATTTGATATTTAATCAACGTAATACTGGTCTATTTCGAGATAGATGAGATCTTATTAAATGCTTTTTTAGAGTACAAAGCATTGAGTTATACGACAAAGCCGACTTTCCTTAGTAGGAAAGCAAGATTGAATACTAGATAAGTGTTCCAAGGTAATATAAAAACATGTACTAAGCTAAGCATACGAGAGCATGGTCAAAAGTTGGAATCTTCTTCTTCTTCTTTTCAGCCAAATGACGTCCACTGCTGGACAAAGGCCTCCCCCAAGGTTTTCCACAATGAACGGTCCTGCGCTGCCCGCATCCAGGCTCTTCCCGCGACCTTTACCAGATCGTCGGTCCACCTAGTAGGAGGCCTGCCCACGCTACGTCTTCCAGCCCGTGGTCGCCACTCGAGAACTTTCCTGCCCCAACGGCCATCGTCTCTACGAGCTATGTGCCCCGCCCACTGTCACTAGATTTTAGCAATTCTGCGAGCTATGTCGGTTACTTTGGTTCTCCTGCGGATCTCCTCATTTCTGATTCGATCACGCAGGGAAAGTTGGAATAATCCAGAAATATTATCGCATTAACTAGTAAACAAATGGTAAGTAAATACCTAGAGTGATATTTTTTCTAGGCTACTATTGTTATGATAATTAACGCACTTATACACGTACAGAAGTATTAGTACTTATTCGATGCTTATACTTCCATTTAGACGTTTCGTTTTATGTAGGTATATTGTACATTTGCTCCAAATTTTCCACTTTTAAACCATTATTCACTGCTTTACGAAAATGGCCAAATAATGTACTCGTCGTACAGTTAGCGTCAAAAGTCCGTGACAACTAAAGTGGCCAAAAAGTTGACAACACAACCTTATTCCAACCGTAACAAAGACATGTAGGAACTTTTTGGCTGCTTTGGGTATCACGAACTATTTGAAGCTGACTGTACCAACCGAGATTCCTTATCGTTTGAAGAATGGTTCGCCCGATTGATCTTCCGGGGTGAAAAATCGACGCGTGGACGAATACCGTCAAGTCCGAGTGTAAGGTTAGCAGGAATTATTCATGAGTGAACAATTGTGTGATTTATTAAGCTAAGGCTTCAATTTTACGGAGGAAAATCTCACGATCTAGGTCGTGGGCTCTATTCTCAGGTGGGACAAATTAAATATTGCAGAATACTGTAGATGCCTTGATTGTCTGATGAAAAATATTCTATGAGCACAATTTATTAGTACGAATCGACTGAACCAAGTCAACTGTTGGCCTTATTATTTACAACCCACATAGAAGAAGTTACAAAGATTTATTATAATCCTAGATATTTTTATTGACATTTACATGAAAATTTGCAAATTCTAATCTTCACTATACCTACTTCCCAACAACGTAACTCATACAAGTTTCTCGCAATAAAAAAGAAGTTAAGTTAATAACTTAACCCTATACTTGGCAAAGACGGTTTTGGTTATTATTTGTGATTTACACTATAAATATTGGATTTAGGACGAGTAAAAATCATGTAAAAAATACGAAAAAAAATCTTAGGTATGTAGTTTTGGAAATATAGTATGTATCTTTAAGTGCACATTGCCAGCTTTGTAGTAAATTAAAACATGGTTTATTTTTTTGGTAAAAATTAATTATTTAAATGAAAATTACTACAAAACCTTAAGCTATACCTTATTTGAGAAATAAAAATAAGTATATTTTACAAAAAACTGAAAACAAAGTAAAAAACCCACTTCAAAGTCTGTAACGCCTTGCAAGTATAGCTGCATTTGGATGTATGAGAACCACTCCATCAGCGTCGTTGGAGTATCTTCTGAACCTCGCACCCCTCTTACCATCCAGGAGAAGCAAATGCAGATAGGACACATAGGAATCCTGCAAGACCATTAAAGAAATACGAGGGGTATTGACGCCAACTGGTACCGAACTGTGTTCACGTCTTTGATTGAAGATAATTTGATACCCAACTTACAATGGAAACGCATGATAGCGGAAATGGATCTCTGGAACTCTCTGGGAAAATATGCAGCAGTCGAACTGGCTGAAATTCTTCAATCACTAGCTTTATAACCAGAAGCATGCGGCAGCCTGAACAGGCTGCTCGCTTTTTGGAGGTGATCTGGGTTGTTTGGAGTAGGAAGATAACCACCCAAGAGAATCAGGGGGCTAAGTGCGGCTTCTAATTCATCAGCCGAAGTGTCACCGCCACTGACTTTCGACCTGGTACCAGATTTTGGAACCAGAACCAGCATTTTGCGCGCCTGATTTTGTTGCCGCAGCACAAAGTTGTCCAAAAAACAACATTATTTTT